GAACGTTCTTTTGTCTACTTTTCAAGATGGTTATTAAAGACATCTATAAAGGATACCCTAGAAATCCAGGCGAAAATGGGCGCGAATTGGTCGCCCGGATCTAGAAACCGTAATTGGGGTGATACCTTCATCCCCTCGGTGGGAAGTCTTTTTCTGGGTCCGTGTCTGGGTTAGTCTGCATATGTTCGCACCTAAGAAACTGCCACTTCAACGATACAGTCGTCAACAAATGTGACATCTGTCACATTCCCACCTTCCGAAATACCTCGAACGGTACCTTTGTCGCTGCTGAGCCCTACTGGCTGATCTCCAAAGTTAGAATCGTTCCCTGATCCCAAGTTCACTTCGGTGGAATCTTCTTGCGTCGTGTAGACGGCTGGTGGTAAAACCCCTGCTTTATTCTTGGTAGTTTCCTCCCAAACTGTCCTTTGCCTCAACGGACGATACTTCCCCAAAAATTCTTTCATGACACTTTCAGTCTCGGAGTTTAACTCTTCTGAAGGTAGAGGTAGCATAAAGTTGACATCTGCAAACTCCGTGCAGGTCTGAGGGACAGGATAGTAGGATTCTTCATGAGTAAAATACGTAGCTGCACATTTTTTCACTGTCTTCAACGACTCCCTGGTAATTACATATATTCCAAAGTCTTGAGAATATTCCAATACGGTGAAGGTCTCATGCTTAAGTTGGGAAACTGCGTGTAGATTCTCCACTACAGTTGTAAGTAGTGTTCAAAATTCAATGTCTTTGAAATAATCGTTGTTAATTGAAGCTTTATGCTGTTGTACAGGCGGCGCATTCCCTCGAGGATCTTAAGTGAGGCCTGAGTTCCTTCAGGGCCGTTGGTTGCTGTGGTTTTCATGATTATACTGTGCCATTATTTCACCTTAGAAACGCCGGTCCCTTTTCGCGATAGTGTTCAGGCGAACTGTCAGTCGCATCGCCGCGACGCTTTGAGATAAAATTTTTCATAAGGTCACTTTAGCTATGTCATTCATAATCTATATAGAACCAAGAGCCATAATTGTCCCAATTATGGCTCTTGATAGAACATAATCTACATGAAATCAAGAGTGACGAAATTCTTAGCTCGTATACATCGGCATTTAATGGGCGGTCTATACTACAGAGTACACTTTTAACTAATGTGTTTACATCAATACCAAATACCAAACAGCTTATACTATTTTGCGAAACGAAACGGAACGAAACGAAACGAAACGAAATTGTACTATTTTGCGAAAAGAAACGAAATTTTGCGAAATGGCGTTTTTTCGCCTTTATTTAGCAAATATGTCCTCTTCGTCCGAAACAAAATGTGTCCACTAATAAAATGGTAAATATTTCTAAGAGCCTGGTCACCTTTCATTTTATTGACCATAATATAACTCTATAATAAGTAGTAATTTTGCCAGAATTACTATTTTGCGAAATGGCGTTTTTTTCACCTTTATTTGGCAAATACGTCCTGTTCTTCTGAAACAAAATGTTCCCACCAATAAAATGATCAATATTTCTAAGAGCCTTGTCACTTCTCATTTTATTGACCATAATAGANTCATAAAAAAAAACCTACACTGGTCTCCTAACAAATTTCTTTAGTTTTATTCCATCATGCTACAAAATTGGCCTTATCCGAACTCTTATTGACCGTATCTACAAAATCAACAACACCTCTTCCGGCCTTCAAAACGATCTTAAGAAACTTTCCGACACTTTAAAACGTAATTCTTTTCCTTCGCATATTATTGAAAGAACTTTCAAGCGGTATCTTGACGGGTCCTCCTCTCAAAATAGCCGGAACATTGATGACAATAATACACGTTACTTTAAACTCCCTTTTGTCGGCTATTATTCTAAAATAGCGAACCTCAAACTCCGACAACTCACTAAGCGCTTTTGTAAATCGGACCTAAATATCAAACTAGTTTTCACTTCTTTTAAAATTAAAAACATGTTCAGTGTTAAAGATCGTACTCCTGATGCTCTAAAATCCATGGTAGTTTATCAATTTTCTTGTGCGGGATGTAATTCCCGTTATATTGGCGAAACTAGTCGCCACTTCTCTACTAGGATAAAGGAGCACACGGAAAGCGATAAAAACTCGCATATTTTTAAGCATTTCAACACATCTCCTTCTTGTAAGAACAAATACTCCCTTTCTTGCTTTAGTATTCTGGATTCTGCTAACAACTCAATTGATTTAAAACTCAAAGAAGCTTTTTATATAAATAAGATCAAACCTGAACTTAACAAACAATTACAGCATTATAACACTTTTCTAGCGTTTTAGTTCACACCTTTGATGTTTGGTGTCACGTTGTAATTAGTACCCGCTTTTGTATGACATCATACTGTAAATATTTGATTCATCTATTTGTCTGTTATATAATTACTCACGTTCAGTTACTTATCGATTGAAGATGGCATAAGCATGCCAAAACTTGTCTCTCAAAAAAGTTGTCTATTTCTTGCAGTTTCAACTTAGTTGTAAAACCAAATTACCTTGTTGCCCCCCACCGACGCAGCACCGCAGTTTCTTTAGAAACTTACCCCCTCGGCCACCGTAATGAGTTTCCAAAGCCCTTCTTCGAAAGTGAATTTTACCTCAATTGGCAGTAATGTCGCAATCTGATTGGCTAATTTGCCATTAAACAACATTGCTCACGTCAACGTGTCACGAAACGTGACGTCGAGATCGGTGAAACCGCTGACTAAAACTGAGCTCGCATAAACATTCTAAATCAGTGGAAAAGTCATCGAGCATGAGAAGATTTGTTCCACGTGCTTACTGATTACCGTTACAGACCTCTTACCGCTAGTCGCGGATGCTGACTCCAAAATGCAAGGGTACACCCAAGAACCTTCGCCACAGCCATTAGCGATAGTTACAGATGAAACTGCACGTTATAACGAAAGCAGGTAAAGTCCGCTACGATTGTATCAGCTTTAACACAGTATTTGCAATGTACTTGGTTGTTATAAACAATCGCCTTTGTCATGAGGTCAGGGGCCCGTGTCGTGCTGAAACAAGGTTGTAATGCGTAGTCTTACCAACTTGAAACCATGAGTCCATGGAATGATTTCTCTTAATTGATATTTTGAAAGAACTTTTGGATATAGGTTGTCGTTGTTAAACTCTTGGTCGTGGAAGTTGTCATTCAGATCAAGTACTGTCTTAGCTTCTGTATGATGTTGTATAACGTGTCGGGATCAAATGCTTTAATACTTGATTAAGTAAGGGTTATATCATTTCCTGAATGAGAAGGATATTTATGTCTGAAGTTAAGAGGGTAAAATATGAACTAAAAATTTTAAGGTCTACGGATCTGATATGCTGCTGAGATATCGTGTAACTCGTGGTCATTCCTGCATAAGGATTCCTAGGTACCTGATTACACTTTGTATACATGTAGCTATGACAGTAAAAGACAATATGTTTAGTTTCAAAGGACACTTTTCATGTGTGGTAAATGACCCTTTCCGCCTGAGAAACTACATGTAGTAAGTGTGACAGACATTTCCCAAGGGATAATTCCTGTGACGACTATCTTTACGTAAGTAAAAAAGAACACCATTACTTATTATGGCTTTGACTAATGTGTGTTACATGTTACTGTCTTTTTTTAAGTCATTCAAACTTTTCAAAACCTTTCCAACGGGAAGAATACAAGGTCTGTGTAAAGAATGTTCCCATTGATATGTCTAAGGTGAGTTATCCTACTTGTATGAATGATTGTTATCAAGTAAAGTGGTAGCATTGCTAAGTCTGAGTAGAATTCTCCCATCCTGGAGGTCTCAAGTACCTGTGTGCAAGGAGCCATCTGGTTTACATGCCACCAGTTGTGATTTTTTATGTTAACCATTTTCTCCCCAATATCAGTGTGCACATTTTCCATTCTGTTCTCTTTACATTTTCTGAGATGTTGACAAGGAGAATTTATTTAGCAGTCAAGAGCCTCCAAATATTTGGCAATCGTTCTCTTATTCAGTTGACCTTAATGTGTGATTCAGGGGTGGTATTGTAAGGAAAATTGAAATGTTAGTCACTCCAAGGGGTGAAAGGGTAAAGGTCCTTACCAGTATTGCATTACCAAGGTCCTTACCAGTATTGCATTACCCTTTTTCTAGAGGAATGTTTATTTGGTTGTGAAAGGGACAATCTTTTTCGCTGCATGGCTCCAAGCTCAAATTAACGTGCAATAGGAGGCATGGCCACATATGTCATCACAATGAGTGAGTGAGGGAGTGATGATGACAGTAGAATTGGTGCTGCTTATTGTTTGTTTGGAAGTATCTCAGTAGTTCGACATTCACATTTGATATACAGTTCAGTTTTCTCCTTTTGTTATCTCTCAGTTATAGCCATTAACACATAATGTTATCATCCTTGTTCTTATGTGGCTACTGTCTCCTATTTAATAGGAGGGGAGGGGAGCCGCTATGTTGACTGCTATGATGAGTGAGTGCATGAATGAGTGAGTGAGTGATGATAAGTAATGATAAAATTCAGATATTGACCCAAATTTGATAGGATGTTTCCCAGTGCTTCTTATTGTTTTTCCAGAGTATCTTGTTAGTTTAACATTTGTAATTGATACACATTTAGTTCTCACCTTTAGTGATATCAGGTTTAAAGCTACTGGTGCTTTATGTTTTCAGTTCTTGTCGTGACACTACAGTAGACACGTGAAGAAAATAAACATATCGCAATTATTTAAGGATTGCACATGATTGTTTAAAAACGTCTTGCAGAAACATCCTATTAGGTGTTTTTTTCTTTGAAGAGAGAGCATTTTACTTTTGAAATCAGCAGATTATGTCAATCGGCAAATTATATCAATCTGAAGATATTATCTTTTCATTTCTTGCCACAACACTACAAAAGAGGATTATTATCTCAAAATAATTTCACAATGGTGTTCATGGACTTAAACCTTCCCTTTTCAGAAATATCTTGATAGATTTGATCTGCATACCATGGAAGCTACAGTGTACAAGAAAATTTTTTTTCTTCTTTGGAAAGAGAGCATTTTATTGTTTGAATCAGCAAGTTATGCTGAACAGAGCCTCTTAAAGTCTCGCAAAATGGAATTGTAATAGAATAAAAATATTTATATTTAACAAGCTTGATTAAAAGAAGCATACTGCTTTTAAAACACTAATAAACTTCCATAGAAAAGCAAACAAATGGAAATTTGCATGTGTGCTTAGCAGCACATGCTCAGAAACATGATATCCATGACAACAAAACAATCGTTCAAATCTCGTTTCAAATTCTGAGAATCATGTTTCTGCTCGCTCGAAAAGTTCCTACCCTGAATAAAAAATGTGAAGATGAAACCTACCTTCTTCGTCCTTCTAGCCTTTTTTATTCACTGAAACTTGCATCCTCAGTGGCGTTTGATATTCAGCTGTCAAACACCTTTGAATATGACTTTTGGTGCAAGTTTTTCACCAGTTGCTTTCACCATCAGAGCAACCATAAAACTTTCTTAGTTTCATCACATCCTTTTGCTAACTTGCAACATTTTGGTGCATCTTATAGCCAAGTCTTTGCATGTAATTTTCAGTTTGGCAAGTTGGTTGGACTAAGTTGCCAAGTTTGGGGTGCTTCTTATAACTGAGTGCACCTTATAACTGAGAAACTATGATAGATAATCATTGTTAAAGCCCAGAGGATAGTGGAACCACAAGGCTTTTGAGTTAGCCCCTTTAAATTATTTTTATACTACAGCATAATTATTGTTATCATTATTAACATTGTTGTTATGATTATTTTTTACCATTTAATTATTTGTTGAATGTCAACTAGATAATATATATTCCATCTCGTGGAACAGGGTACTCACAAATACGTGGGATGCTGAAGGTGTGAATACAAATCTTCTGTAACACTACCTTCTAGCATCATTATACAACCTCTATTTTTGTTCAATGCCAAAAGATTTGTGCTATATCAGTAGCCACATGCAGTCCCAGACTGTCTATTTTTCTTGAAATATGAGATCTCCAGAAAACTACATGTATTTCAGTGTTTCGTTATCCTTGTTACAGAAATTATTTTATTCATATTTTTTCATTGCTGCTTCCCTGCCAGGAGAGTCTTGAGGCACTTTTCAGAAGCTGTGGGAATGTTACATCAGTCAACATTTTGCCACCAAAACCTGAAAGAAACAGCACCATTGGGTGAGAGTAAAGTTAATGTTAATTGGAGCCTCTGAGTTTTTTCAGGGTTACTGGTATATCTTGTAAAACCTGGAATGCTTGGAAATCATTGATCATTTTAGCACTGGATGACTGTGAATATATCAATATCATCAAACTACGGATTAGTGAATGAAGATACGAATGATCATCACAGTAAGGAAGTGTGGTTAAATGCTGTCAGTAGTTGAAATTAAGTCTGCAATGGGATGTGTGAGCATTGAACCCATGAAGTATTTTCACTGCTGCTTAAATAGTGTTCATTATGGTGATGATCAATCTCATCTTCTTTTAAGTACTGGATATCAGTGAACATACTGTGAATGAATAGATAAATGTACATGTATGTTGGAACAAGCTGTAATGCAGATGTTTGTTCATCCACTGTTTCCATGGGTAACTGGACATTTTGCACAAGTCTTTTCGCACAAGTTTTGGACCATTTGCACAATTATTCATGGTCATTTCGCACAAAAATTGCAAGTGAGAAATATCAACATAAAAGGTATACTGATTGGTACTGATAAGATATTTCACCTTCACACATCAGTTTCAGTAAGGTCCAATGGCGAGAATGCCAATATTTATTTACGTAATAACTTCAACGAGATTGAAATGCTTGTGAACATGATCACTATTCTTGCTTGAAGAAAGGAACAAATCTTTCTCTCTTTGAAAATGTAAAGAACTCCCTATTCCAACTGTTACTTCTATTACTTTTCCTTTGTTAAATGAAAGACTTTTTGGTTCTGACAGTACATCCACTACAAGAACGCCATGTACAATACATCCACTAAGGACAGTACAGTACATCTATGTACAGTACATCCACACCATGGACAGTACATCCATTAAGGACGCCATGTTGATTTCGAAAGTAATTGTCACCGGGCCTCCGACCTTGTTTGATCACCTTCGCACTGAATGTTTCATTTATCTCTAAGGGTTTGAAATAAGCCTTTGAAAACTTGCTTCTTTTTCTTCGTCATATAATGATAATTAGGCATACCAGTAATATGTGCAGGGAGTGCTTCACATCAAATGTCAGCATGTGCAAGTGTTGTGATTTGACAACTTGAATGTGTCAGTGTAGGTAGAAATTAGTGATCTTGTAGAAAGCCAAGTTCGATCTGTAATTTTTTTAAAGATCATAAAATCAAGTATTTACCTTTCAAATTATTCTAATAACAACTCCTTAATCAATGGAGAGTTCAGTATCAATTAATAAGCTTCATAGCGACCATAATGTAAACAAATGATTGCATGAAAGTTTTAAGAATTCAAAATAATTCAAAGATTATACACTAGCCATGTGATAAGTAATCATTTACACTTACTGGTAAGATCAAAACAAATAAAGAAATCTAGATGTACTATAACTTAAATGAAGTAGGAAAGAGCTAAATTTCTACGAGTCGTAACCGAGTAGCAAGTTAAATATGTGCGACTTGTCAGGTAACATGGCCGTGATATGGCCGAGATATGGATATAATTGTTTATCATAGCTCATCAATTTTATCAGAAATACAAAAAAAATGCAATATTTAGTGTGTAATAATTATATTTATTGATAGCATTTGCACGAGAATTTTGTAAATAGGTCTTTAGTACTTTTTAACAATAAGGGAAACAGTTTGCTGGTTTTTACTTTGACTTCGGGGGATGGAGGACTGGTTACAATTATTTTCGAAATCAACATGGTGTCCTTCGCCTGGGTCATCGATGTCTGCATATTTGTAGTGGATGTACTGTCAAAACAAAAAAGTCTTTCATTTAACAAAGCAAAAGTAATAGTTCACAGCAGACTAGGTATGCCAACTTCAATATTGCTCACCCTGTTATCAAACATAAAACTGAAGGAGGAAGAACATTTTTGTGACTGCCTGTCAAGCCTGGAACAGCTTACCGCTATCCATGCAGAAAATAGCATCACTAAATTCTTTTAGGAACTCTCTTTGGAAAAAAATTTTTGAAGAACAGCAGCTTTTAAATCATTTTATTCTGTGAATTAGTTATACTTTTGTACTATTAATTGATTTTCTCTCTTGTATTTTATTCATTATATTATCTCATAGTTATGCCATAGTTTTTAACATCTCTATTATATATAATTTTAGAGGGCCACTGGTTTGTTAGTATTTTTATACTATTTTAGTGCTACTCTCTTTAATAAAGTCATTACTTACTTACTAATAGATGTAATCGTTCGATAGGGAGTTCTTTACATTTTCAAAGAGAGAAAGATTTGTTCCTTTCTTCAAGTAAGAATATTGATCATGTTCACAAGCGTTTCGATCTAGTTGAAGTTACTACGTAAATAAATCTGTACGTTCTCATCATCGGATCTTATTATTTTAAAGTGACATATGAAGGTGAAATATCTTATCAGTATCAATTAGAATACGTGTACCTTTAAAACTGATGTTTCTCACCTATAATTATTGTGCAAAATGACCATTAAGAATTGTGGGAATGGTCCAAAACTTGTGCAAAAAGACTTGTGCGAAAAGTCTTTTGTGCGAAATGTCCTGTATTCTTTCCATGTCAACTTGGAATTCGTGGTGTTGCTTTTTGAGGAGGGAGGAAAAAGTGGAGAACTGAGAGAAAAACCCCAGTGACAACAAGGTTGAGTACCAGTAACAAACTACTGTACTGTAGTTGTCATGTGACACAAGGACATACTGTACATACATGGAAATGTTTTGGGCACAAGTATATTGTGATGTTTGTTGCGACTAGTGATGCACTGTTAGTTATCTCAGCCCTGATGTGATTTGTAATGAAACTGTTATTGTTAATCTACAATGTACCAAGCATGCATGTATTTTGTCAACCAGTCAATCAAATAAGTTTTGTTTTGTCAAATAGTTTTGTGGCATTTTCATCAGAGGATGAGCTCAGCAAAGCAATAGATGCTGTTAATGGTACTTTGTTAGGGGGTCACAGTCTTAGAGTAGAACAAGCAATTCCTCGAGACAGAAATACTGGGGCATCAGGGAAAGATTTTCAACATCCTGGTGGTTAGTATCCAGCTAATACATGTGTGATATCATCTGTGGTTGTAAAGTTTCACATTATAGGGACTTAGATTTATATTTAATACATAATTATATAATTTTTATTTTTATTTTTTCATATAAACTAAACAACATTATTTCATTTTAACACTGCTTTGGTTTATATATAAATTTGCAATGTGGATTACCATTTGTAAAAACACAAGTGTATGATTGATGTAAGGTTTAACTCAAGGTTTTGAGGCTGTTGGCACACATTGTCTTCATGAAACAAATTGCTTGCAATAATGTGTCTTTATTTATAGGTTATCAGAATACACAGTCATTTTATCAAAGGAGAACAGACCAACAACCTGGCAGAGGCCAACATGAGCAGGCTGGAGGAAGGGGACAATATAATCAACATGTAGGGAGGGGACAGTATGGGGAGGTTGGAGTAAGAGGACAATTGGAGCAGCCTAGAGGAAGAGGGCATTATGAGCAGCCTGGAGGAAGAGGTACATATCAGCAGCCTGGAGGAATGGTACCACATCAGCATCCCGGAGGATGGGGCCCATATGGGAAGCCTGTAATTAGAGGGCAACATGAACAGCCTGGAGGATGGGAACCATATCAGCAGCCTGAAGGATGGGGGCAACATGAGCAGCCTGGAGGAAGAAAACCCTATGAGCAGTCTGGAGGAAGGGGAATGTATGAGCTGCCAGGGAGGAGAGGCCAATACCAGCACCCTAGAGGGAGGGGACCATATCATGGACACCAGTCAGGTGTAATGATGAGATCGTTTCAAAACATGGGTGTAAGTGTTGAGCAAGCAATTTTCAATCCAAGTGGACCTGGCCGAGGAGTGGGAATGATGCAATCATTTGGTACTAGCAGTGAAGTTGTGCCAGGTGGTGCCAGTAGTGTCCTGAATGGAGTAACAAATTCTTACCCACATGAAGCTGAAGGTACAGTAGATGTAACAACACTCAATAACTGCATTATACAGTTAGTTTTCATATCATATAACCTACTCAAGAGAAAAACTGTATTAAGACAATTTGTTTTTTGACCTTACTATACTGGAGGCACAAATAGATTGTGAATATGAACTCAGTGTAAAGTACAGACGTGGACTGATAATGGCAGAATATGGTTAGCCAAATGTTGCAAAATTCAACAACTTGCTTATTTTTATTCAACAACTAATATTTATGCTCAACAAAATATATTTATGTTCAACAACACGCCTTTTCTTTTCATATTCAACCAAAATTATTTTCATTCAACAACAATATTTATTCAACTTCAATAGCTATATTTATTTTACTCAACAAAATTAATTGTTCAACTTCAGTCCAAACTTTTTACTCAACAAAAACAATTATTCAACTTCCACCATGCATAGTTATTTAATGACATACCTTCTATTATGACTAAGTGTTTGAAAGTTCCCAGACATTCAAAATATCGTCATTCAACAAAATCCCTGTCCAGTCCCCAGTTAAATACGCTGTATTGCGGACCCAGTGCCCTGACCATTAACACCCATGAATAGAGATGGTGTCGGAAGACGGATCAGGACGTGATGTTAGGAAACTGACACAAATTGTGAGAGAATGTGTTCGAAATGAGATCGCTCTTCAACGATCGGGAAGTAATACCTTGTTGTTAATGAGAACGCACGACCTTATAGCAAGTTCAGCAAGATCTGCGAGCTGAGAGATGACAAACTCTATCGCCCTGGGCATCATTCCATCTTTTCCCACCACAGCCACCCCGGTTCCTTCTTCTTCGTCTTCTTTTCACAAGGGAAAAAAGAGGCCCGCAGTTGCAACAAATCATCCATGGCGCCTCAAAGGTAAACAGGAGAAACAAATGAACCATAATCTTCATATTGGAAGGAGTGGGTTTGATGTTTGGGGGTAGTTCGGGGGTAGGGGCGAGGAATTTTGTTGAATGACGATATTTTGAATGTCCGCGAACTTTCGAACACTTAGTCATAATAGAAGGTATGTCATTAAATAACTATGCATGGTGGAAGTTGAATAATTGTTTTTGTTGGGTAAAATGTTTGGACTGAAGTTGAACAATTAATTTTGTTGAGTAAAATAAATATAGCTATTGAAGTTGAATAAATATTGTTGTTGAATGAAAATAATTTTGGTTGAATATGAAAAGAAATCCGTGTCGTTGAACTTAAATATAAAATGTTGAATATAACTGTAAACTGTTGAATAAAGATATATTTTGTTCAGCATAAATATTAGTTGTTGAATAAAAATATGCAAGTTGTTGAATTTTGCAACATTTGGCTAACCATAGCAGAATGTATCCTTGTTTTGTGCCATGCTTTAGTCTGACTGCCTGTAGGAGAAGAAGGACATTATGACAAGTGCACAAATGTTTTGTCTGTGACCTTACCTTCTTTTAAAAAAATTTAATATAGTTTGGCTTGAGAGAACTTTCAAATTGTGTCCCTTTTATTTGCTTATTTGCCTTGAGCTTATATGTATTCATGATTTGATTAATTTACATATAGCTTTACAGACAAATGGAGTGCAACATATGTGGGATGAGACTAGTAGTCCAGAGGTACAGGAATTGACTGGACGTTTACCTCAGAATAGTGTGACGCAGGGTAATGCAACCAACCTACAACCACATGCACCAGTGCATAATGGTAATGTCATGAGTAAAACCACAATTATGATAATTATTGCTAGATAATGCATCAATCAATTCAAAGCTTCAACATTCCTCATCTCAAATTCCCACTCCCAGGGCCAAAATTGTACTCAGTACTCCAGCCCAGTTCCTCTGGGAGGATCAGTGACTGACTTTCTTGTAGACCTTTTCTTGACAGCTTTCTGTTCATGAAAGTGAGCTTCTTTTTACCTTGAAATGCCTCCATATTAAAAGATAAAACATGTTAATTCTGCTGGAAAGACTTGTTAATTCTGGTTCAAATTCGCCATCCTACCCAGGCACAGTTCAAATTCTCCACCCCTTTTGCATCAGTTAAATGCCCATGCTGATGGACTGAAGTAGCTTTCTCTTACTTCATGCTCTTTTCCTATATACAAGGACCTCATGTGAAATCTTGTTCCTTCATTGTAAGAAAAGCCTCTTATCAGAGTGATTTGGATATATCAACAAAGTTGAAATGGTAAATTGGCCACCGTAATGATTACAAAAGCTGACGTTTCGAGCATTAGCCCTTCGTCGGAGTGAATAGAGGAATTGTGGGTTGTGTGTGCTTTTAAAGGCAGAAAATGGAGCGACATTATTGGTGGGAACATGGCAATGACAAAAACCAGAATAAATTAGTGGAATGAAAAGCGTTCATTGATCCCTGTGGGATTTAGACTGCCAGTTTGAAAGATGAGCTTTGGTTCAAGATTTTTATGGCTTTCCGTGCTACCTAAGTGTAAGGAAAGACCACAGATTGCCATATGTTGCTTAGAATGATTAGGTAAATTAAAATGTCTAGCGACTGGTTTCAATGTGTCCTTGTCATTCCTTTCCACGTCTCAAAGGTGTTCTCAGAATCGGTCACCTAGTCTTCACAAGCACTATCTTTTCGCAGCCTCCGCTCATTTCATTCAAACGCGACAAAAACAGGCAATATTTGGTCAGAAGTTCTTTTCAGACTAATGACCAACCAGGCACTTTTAAATGCGCTCTTGCACAATGCAAAACGTGTCCTTTCATTCACAACACTGATAAAATATCGGAACCTAAACGATCTATTAAGACCACCGATCACTTCACGTGCACCTCCGCTAATGTAATCTATTGCATAACTTGCACTTATTGCAAAAAGATATACATTGGCAAAACAGGCAGAAGACTAGGTGACCGATTCCAAGAACACCTTCGAGACGTGGAAAGGAAGGACAAGGACACATCCAAACCAGTTGCTAGACATTTTAATTTACCTAATCATTCTCAGCAACATAATTTATGGCAATCTGTGGTCTTTCCTTACACTTAGGTAGCAGGGAAAGCCGTAAAAGTCTTGAAAAAAGCTCATCTTTCAAACCGGTAGTCTAAATCCCACAGGGATCAACGAACGCTTTTCATTCCACTGATTTATTTTTGTTTTTCTCGTTGCCATGTTCCCACCAATAACGTAGCTCCATTTTCTGCCTTTAAAAGCACACACAGCCCACAATTCCTCTATTCACTCCGACGAAGGGCTAACGCTCGAAACGTCAGCTTTTGCAATTTACCATTTCAACTTTGTTGATATATCCAAATTATTTCGTTACTCCCGCAGCCCCAAACAGTTTCTTTCGAAACTATCGGCTCTTATCAGAGTAGATGTGAGAGGTCTCTCTTTAAAGTGAAGAATTTAAGAAATGTTGGCATAAGAGCTGCAGTAGATATAAAGTGGAAAACTGCATACATGGGTGCTTTTTAATTGGGGTCTCTGGATTTCACATTTTGCAATAGACCCATATGATGGATAGAAAGTTTTTGTAAACCAATCATATTTAGACACTAACATCTAAATTCTTTAAAAACAAAGGGTGGATCTTTTTTGCTACAGTGGGTGCCGGCATGGAAAGGTGATGAGGATACACGATCAGGCATTATTTTGTCTTTTGTTGGGCAGTTATTTTTATTGATCGTCTGGTTATTGATAGAGCGGTTACTGTGATTGTTTGTTTTTATTAATTTATCTCAGGTGGCCAAAGCTGTTATAAGTGTGGAGGAACTGGCCATTTTGCAAAGCAATGTGAATCATCAGGGGGTATATGTAACTGTCTGCTTTTGTTAATATTCAGTCAATATGTTGCCTAGGTCAAATACTAAAATTTTAATTGAAAATTAAGTAACATCTACCTGTGGGATCTTTATTAACATAACTACTTATTGATTTTTGTTAATTCATTATTCTTGAGGAGCTTGTTGGAACAATCTATACATGACTTTCAATTTCAGAACAATTGATTATTTTGTATATTTTGGGTAAAAATGTAACTGTATTGGTTTATATGTTAAAGCTTTAGATAAATCTTGTCATGGTTGTGGAGAAGAGGGTCATTTTGCAAGAGAATGTCCAGCTGTAGCTAACTCCCAAAGGCAAAAAGGTAAACACTTTGTTGTGTGTAAGGCTCATTATGTGCACAAGGTGTATAATTTTATTAGGGCTTTTCTGTGTTACACAACGGAGTGGCCTGCCTATGTTTGTAACTATTTCATACCAAGCTGTTGTTATGTGAATGATTTTGGATTGGCCTCATACTCTTTACTATACCGACAGTTTTTCTAGGATCTTTTCAAATGTTAATAAAAGTAATTTGTCTGTTCAATAATTTCAAGACAAAAATTAGTGATAAAGAGTATGATGTTTCAACCTCTCCGAGGTCATTTTCAAGTGAGTAAAGTTTTCTAAATAGCATAAAAATGTTGAAAAAGTTGAAATGGGCAAAAATGTGGGTAATGCTAAAATCTGATAAAATTTGTAAGAAAGTGCTAAAAATATTTATGAGGTAAAAACAATGGAGTAATAGTAACAAGAACTATTCTAAACAAACAATTGGGCGTGACTTGAATCACACCATTAATTTTGTTTAGTGTTGGTTTGAGTTCTTTGATAAAAAACATTACAAAAATAAGATGGTCAAATTTGCTCTGACACTTTCTTAAAATTCTAAAACTCTGTGCGATGTCTTCTGGCTCCATATCATGCTGCTCTCTGTGGTGGTTTCCTATTGCCAATCCTTTGTGTTCCTCAATTCATTGGTGAAGGTGTTGGCATGTGTAGCGGACATAGCCTGCATTGCACAGGCCACACTGAAATGAATACACTATGCATTGTTGACTCACAAGAGGTGGCTTGTCTTCCCTGACCTTAATTTCATCCTTTATCTTTCTGCTTGTGTAAACTGGGCTGATATCTGCATTGATCTTCCAACTGAGGTCAGCAAGCTGTCCAGGCACTGCTTTCAAAGATCTGCTAATTTAGAAAACTTTTACTCACTTGAAAATGACCTTGGGAGGTCAAAACGTCGTGCTTTTTATCGCTAATTCTTATCTCGAAATCTTTTCAAATGTTTATCAATTAAGATTTATGGCAGATTACAAAGAATGAATTTAAAATGAGTTGCTTTTAGGGAAACACTTGGAAGAAATTGAAAGTAGCACCACTTACTAAATTCATTGAGACTAAGATCATCAGCACACACTTGGGAGGATTGTTGTAAGTGTAACCTCCAAAGGCTGCCAGTAGAGAAGAGAAGACAATTTGAATGCACAGTAGAAATCAAGGTTTAATTCAATTCAGTTGGTAATAAAAATTACAAATTGGAAGAAAGAAAGCAACTTATGAAATGACCTTGAATTAAATGGATGAAAAGAGGGAAGCTACGAGTATAGTAGGGAGGTCACGTTTGGTGTTTGAGAGATTGAATATGTGGCTCAATTTGTGGTTTTGAACTAAAAGAAATTACTGCAGAAACTAAACTACGAAAATACCCTGGGAAATGTAACACTGACCTAACTAACAGTGAAGTGATTATAAAGAGAACTGAATGTGAGAAATAAACCAATGATGTAGACAAAGGGGAGATATCTTAAATTTAGAATGAAAAAGACTTACTTTGATCTAGCTCCTTACTATTTACAATTATTGGATTTGGTTTTTGCATGATAGCGATAATTATCGAGGCCAAAGTTGGTGTTAGTACATATCTAAACTCTACTGTCTGTAGGTGTTACATAAGAGAATGTATGATGATAGCAGATAATTCACTGATAGCATATAAAAGAAATATGTGAAAATATGAAATACAATGTCTAATCCATGTGCTTAAATGAAACTAATTGAAATAACCAACTTATTAGGTACTGATCATCAACTAACAAAGGATTGATTGTTAAAAATAAACTAGAACAGATGATAAGAGAAAAGAACATGAACTACACATTTCAAACTAACAGTAAGAAGTACTGTGAAATATAAAACAACTTCCTTGCATTTTGATGGGCTTTATTCACACAATACTCTAACCGCCTCCCAGTTAGCTCAATGGATGGAGCGCTGGATTGCTGTGCGGGAGGTCAAGGGTTCAAGCCCCGGCCGGACCAACACTCAAGGTCTTAAAATAATTGAGAAGAATATGCTACCATCAAGAAATGGTTAGATTTTCTAGTCTTCTCGGATAGGGACGAATAAATGGAGGTCCCGTCTCCTACAGGGTTAGGGGTAGGAGATGTTAATTTCCCACGCACGAGATTACTGTGTGATGGATGTCCTCCCCTGGGGTGGGATTTATTGGGTGGACTACTCGCATGGTTTGCATATGTTTCGTTCTAGTCCTACCCTACTGCGATAATGCAGTGAAAATGGTTAGGAAAAAAAAAACTCAATTTAGGCAATACCTTACAAACTCATTTGTAATATCATGTCTTGGAAATTTCTGAGAGGCTTGTTGAAGACTTCTCAAATAGAAAAGGGGAGTTACAGTGTACTAGATTTGGTATTAAAAATAGTTGAACTTACAAACAGAGAGAGATGGTACTTTTTCCTGCTAAAAATTCAAATTTACATCTAATTATAGGTAGGCAAGGGTTTTTTTTTACATTAGATATATTTTAGCTGTATCTTCATTAGTTTTCAATGGTTTTTTGAACTATCCCTTTGATTGAGTAAGAGTCTTTGTAATAAAACCTCTTTCTCAACTCAACTCTAACTCAAGCCGACATCTTTGCAGGCAGTCAGGCCTGTCATCAGTGTGGTGAAGTTGGTCACTTTGCACGGGAATGTCCCAGTCGAGGAGAGAATGGGGGGAGAGGTGATATATTTTATATGCTTTAGTTGAAATTACAGTGCTGGTCTCTTCTTGACCAAGTCTGCAAGTACCTGTAGTTCCCAAACAGCAGCCTTGTTACTGCAACATGAGTGGCACACAGCTTTGCATAATTTTCGTTCAGATACAGTTTGATTGACTCATTACAATAGTGCAACAAGTTGATAAGTGCATGAACAAGCAGGGCAACTGCGTCCATGTTTATTTTTATAAGCTTTTTAATGTTAGGGTCTTATGGTGGCTGCTTTAATATCTTCATTTGTGATTTACACAATCCAGTGCCAGCAGTACCCAGTGTTTTTCGGATTGAGCTAAACCTCATGTCTTTTTGTTTTACTAAGTGGATCAGGTTATCCTAGATGTCAGAATCTGTCAGTTTTGAGTCATACAATCTCTTGAACTACAGGCTATTAAGAAAGTTTGCCATTTAATTTTCAACGGCTGGGCCTGATTCATCTTGAGTGATTTCAGACAACAATAGTTAATTGCTGCTGATTATACAACAATTATGAAATTATCACTTAATAAAATTTAATGTTATAAGTGACTCAGTTAGATAGTGTCAAATTCTACAAATTTGGATGGAGAAAAAGATTCACCTGAGAAAATATCCCACTACGGAGGGTACATATAGGTGGAAAAGCCAATACTATGCAGTCCCTGTTTGCTTTTAATAACAACTGAAATATTTTCTAAGAATGTAAATTTAGTTGAATTCTTTAAACCATTTCATCACATCTGTGATACTTGGCTTAGAAATCTTTCCACCATGGACTTGTTTTTTCATTCCAACATGACTAAGTTTCTGCTCTAGGAAATCTTTTTCCCTAAAAAATTTAATGAGATCTTGACCTAACATTTTTTAGTTAGAGCATTAGGAGGATATAAGGGCAAGTTGTGCTACTTTTCCTTGAACAGTTTCTGTGAATTTTTGTTTTAAAGATGTGGCCCTTTTGGGTATAGTTTCTCTATGCAGATTGAATTTACACACAGGATTGCAATGCTTAGAAGCCAGATTTTAATCCCTGTTTGACTTATTCAATGTACACATGTAATCAATATTTGCATAGTAACTCAAGCAAAATTATTGTTGTCGCAGGCAGCCAAGCCTGTCACCAGTGTGGTGAGGTTGGTCACTTTGCCCGGGAATGTCCCAGTCGAAGAGAGAATGGAGGGATAGATGAGATATTTCTTATGTTCAAATTTCAGGAATTTTTTTTTTTTTTATTAGGAACATGGAGTAATTAGTAAGCAAACTTCAAAGTTTAAGAATGGTATTAATGCCAATACTTGTATGGTGTAGCCTTTTTAACTACATCTACATTTATTAGTCTTGCAAAGGGGGGCCATCACGCAAGGCATCAGCCTTGGTACTCCTCCTCCTCCTCCTCCTCCTCCTCCTGCTGGTTATTACTAACAGTATTTTAGATAGTCTCATGCGCTCCTGTTAGAAACACCTTATTCATGAACATCTATACTTCTCTCTTGTTATGTTCAGGAACAGGGAACAAAGTGGGTCCAGTTACATACATTCCACCAGAGCTTCCAAGTGACATCAGTGAGCTTTTCCAGGATGCACCTCATAGTGGATTGAACTTTGATAAGTATGATGACATTCCTGTGAAAGTTTCTGGCAAAGGGTCTGTTTCGCCGATTTCATCTTTTGAAGAAGCTGGGATTTTAGAGCAATGTTTAAAAAACATCAAGAGAGCAGAATTCACCAAACCAACACCTATTCAGAAGTATGCTATTCCTATAGCTCTTGAAGGCCGAGATCTCATGGCCTGTGCTCAAACAGGCTCAGGAAAAACAGTAAGTCCAAAACTAATGTGTAATTGTACAATTAATTTATAGGGGTGATGCGAGGATAGATTAGTGACTTCACCTACAGTGCACTAGTAAGACTTTATTTATTGAGGATAGCACGTGATAGTGCACAAACACTAATAAACTTGTGGTCCTCCTAATTACAATAAATATATAAATACAATAGAATCATTAATATATTGAAAAAAAAAAAAAAAAGATTACAAATATAAATAAATTACAAATGATAAAAATGTTTGTTGTTGTTAATTTAATCAAGTTTCAATGTCAGATGTTCTATGAGAGACTGCATGAATACATAATAGAGTTGTGTTTGATGGTCAATATTTTGTAGTAACTTTGACACTTACTTTCTCCGGTCTGTACACATTTTCTGCTCCTCTTTATGTTTATGTTTCATTTCATCATAGGTAGCATTTGTTGTACCAGTGTTGACTGCAATGATTAAACAAGATCATCTTAGTGGTGGCTCCTTGACTGGTGAAATTCCTGCTCCATCAGCACTTTGTATTGTACCAACTCGTGAGCTTGCTGTTCAGATCTTTAAGGAGGTGTGTAAGTTTGCTGATGGAACTGTTGTGTGCCCAGCTGTTTGTTACGGTGGAGTAAGTGTTCCACACCAGTTGGCTAAGATAAGAAAAGGATCCCACTTCTTGATTGCTACTCCTGGAAGACTTGAGGACTTTGTCTCTAAAAATGAGGTATAGTTTTGTATCACTTGGTTTAGGTCTCATGTGGAGGTTTATTCGAAACAACAGTTCTCTGGTTGGACCATTTTCTCATTTGACCATTTTCACCAACTCAACCATTTCTCCTACCAGGTTGACCATTTTATGTAGTTACACCATTTTCACCGCTAAGACCTTTCTTGTCAAGTAATTTATCTAAACCTGTTGGACCATTTTTACTGGTATGACCATTTTACCACGTACATGTATGGCCATTTCAAGCAGTTGGACTATTTTATCCAGTTAGATCATTTTAGTCAATGACTTTATTTAACCGGTTTGGCCATTTTCTGTAGTTCGACCATCCCTTTCAGTTGTGCCATTTTATGTAACAGTGGCCTGTAGTTTCGTTGCATGCAATCACCTCAAACCAATGCGAAGGACACTCCAGATCTTATTTAAATGTACCTCAGGCAAGTTATTTACTCTGCACTGAATGAAACACTAACGAAGTGCCTAGTGAAGGGGAAAACGTCTGAGTAATTCTCTTTTCAAGTCTGATCACCTGCGCACGCTCACGCCCCAACTTTATTCTCCGGATTATTTCTTTTTTCAGGTTAGTCTAGAAAAAGTACGCTATCTGATTTTGGATGAAGCAGACCGTATGTTAGACATGGGATTTGAACAAACAGTACGTAAGCTAGTGGAGAATTTTGGAATGCCTGATAAAGTTCAAAGGCAAACACTTATGTTCAGTGCAACTTTCCCTGATGATATTCAGCGTCTAGCAGCAGACTTTCTGAAAGAAGATTATCTTTTTGTTATTGTGGGTCGTATTGGAGGATCAAATTTGGACATTAGTCAGACAGTTATCTCTGTACCAGGAGATGATAAACAAGAGAAATTGTTTAATATTCTGCTCAACTCAGGTGACTAATATTTTCGTAGCCTTACTTTGTTTTTTGTTTTTTGTTTTTTTTTTTACTCCATACTAAAGTAATTATTGGGGGTATTCGACAGTTAAGCCTTTTTATGGTTATCAGTTAAGTTTAGTTGAATGAATAACTTGATATGTCCACTTGTGGCGTTTACAACCAACCAGCCCACAGACTTACACCTAAAAAAAAAATCACACAGTGTCCCTTTGCCCTTTTGTTTGGTGAGTTAATGAGAGGAGTGACCAGCTGTTTTTGACGTACAATTCGAAAAAGACAACGGAAAGCTGAATAAGGACTTGGGTTGGTAAAAAATTTATGACTATTAAATTGGATTTTGCCCTTCCTAGTGGGTTCAATCACATAATTGTGACCTTCAAAGTTTATGACAATATTTAAGCTAAAAAGTGGAGTTTGTAACGTCTATCAATGGTTAAACAGTAGCGGATTGTTACTTTTCACAGGAACCGATCGCACCTTAATATTCGTAGAGCTTAAACGCGTAGCAGACTTCCTGGCGTGTCTTCTCTCTCAAAATAACTTTCCAACTACAAGCATCAGTGGGTAAGTGTCTGCATTGCAAGTTACTGTACTTTGATAGTTACTATCACAGTACAGTAACTACAAGCATTAGTGGGTAAGTGTCTGCCTTGCCAGTTACTGTACTTTGATAGTTACTATCACATTTGCAACAGAGGCTGCTGCACCGAGGCGAAAAGGCCAAAATAGTTGATCGTATCGTTGTCATTGTATCAGAAACCCAGACCAGTAACACTCAAAAAAATTTTCGCTTTGACATCATTCATGTGACGTGTTGTAGCAGTTTGTCGACCAGTGTATCCTGGCCATGAAAACCCGGCAAGATGTCAAAATAAGGAATGTGTCAGCTTACAAAAACTGTTGTAATCATGTTGGTACTAGTGAATAAAGAGTGATTTCGTTGTGATCCTGTATAATATTTTGAGAAAGCAACTAAATGAAAACCTAAGGGCTTCGCAGGTTGGTGTAGCTGGTTTCTCGCTCATTATCTAGTATTTATGCTTCCATTAGAGTTGACTTAGTACAGTTTCCGCATAGATACGAACGTAACAAGTTTTGTAAATATGCTGTGGATAAAAAACATTAAGGGTTGAATAGTGAAAATAAATTGTTGACTTGTGCACCAAATTGTTGACTTGTGAATATTTTAGGGACAGGACACAGCAAGAGCGTGAGGCAGCCCTGCAGGACTTCAGAAGCGGTCGAGCTCCTGTGCTTGTGGCGACATCAGTGGCCGCGCGAGGTCTGGATATACCTGATGTAAAACATGTTATCAACTATGATCTCCCTCAGGACATAGAAGAGTATGTCCACAGAATTGGTCGAACTGGTCGGATCGGTAACAAAGGAAGGGCCACCTCTTTTTTCCAGCCAGGAAAAGATGACAGGCTTGCCCGCAGTCTAGTTAAAGTTTTGTCTGAGGTAGTTTCTTGATTTTTTCTTTCTGCTCTTAAACCTTTTTAAGTATCTTCACTAAATAAAAGCATTTGACAAACATATGAAGAAAGGCTCTATTATTTGTCATGTGCTTAAGATTCATCACAGATGAACTCTTCATTATTTGGTTATCCAGACATAAAAACGATCCACCATGAATAAAACGTAGAGAAATAGTAAAATTGTTAGTGTCATCACCGTCATTACCATCGTCTGTTTGTTTGAATTGAAATTTTGATAGTTGAATATTTTTATTCAATCGTAAGCGGTTTTCCGCGTAACATTAGTTTCTCGAACGCATGTTTCTCTGCAATAGTCGAGCTTGTTTGGTTGTTTGTTTACGCTTAAGCAGCTGGCAATAGTGTTTTACGCCTGCACAATAACAAGCCGTAATAATACTTCGCCCATAATACTTGTATCTTAAACACCATAGTTCAAGTACATGTTACTGATAGTTTTGGCACGGTTTCATAGGCCTATCAAGAAGTTCCAGATTGGCTTGAGCACGTTGCGGAAGAAGCTATAGGTTCGTCATATGGCCCTGCAGGTGGAAGATTTGCCTCCAAAGATAGAAGAGAGGTAAAGGTATTTGTCTTAGGTATTCACTCTATTTGTTAGTATCATCGTATTGCGCGTCATAAACGAAATTATAATCTATTTCTCTTTTGTTATTATCTGTAACGTATTGTAGAGGGAACATTTAAGAGGCAGTGGCTCTCGAGATTTGATGGGGGAAGTCAACAGGCGTATGGAACAACTTGATGTTCAGTCACAAAATAGACCTCATCCTGGGGAAGCGAACAGTTTAACAGATCAGTCAGGTTACCCGGATGAAGAGGAATGGGATTAAGTGGAACTCGTGCAACATACTTTTTAGCGACGGGAATCCAAATGGATTCTGATTACTTGTTGCCTTTTGCTGAGACAAAAGGACAACTTAAAGGTTGTTTCTATTTTCTGAACTATTCGTCGAAGTCGTTATTTGTTTATGAGATTTTTTGTTAATATGAGCAGGGCACACCTCATCGACCGAATCTGATTGACCTCAGAGGGCGCCACCCCCACAATCCCCCCCCCCCGATCATGTGGTGAGACGTCGGTTTTGCACAAGCTGTTGTTCCGTAAGAAACTGTATTACTGGCATTCTGGTGCTAGTGCCGAAATCCTAGACTATTGTATCGTTAGCTTGAAGGAAGAATTTGGGAGTGAGAAGGGTAAGGTGTAGGCCAAAGGGAATTATTATATCAATACAGGCCAAACCAAGCCTATTAGTTTACATTAGACAACAATAGAGAAGTTAGTTTTCTCTTTCCCCGTTGAGAGGCGAGTAATCTTGCGGCGAGGTGCTCTCTTCTTCATTGCAAGGTTATATCGTTACCTTACGTTACTATGATTACCTTTTCTTATTATTATTGTTGCGTTTTCTGTTATGTTGGGAAGAATAATGTTATGTTGGGAAGAATAAAATCGAAACTATCGCAGTTCCTCAATGTGAAAGTTATATGACTTAAATTTTTAACTTATTATTCATGTCTAGTGTTTTTTTCCATTTTTGAAAATGTGTTTTTGCGGTATTTTCATGGCACGAGTGAGATCTCGATGCAATTCATTGAATAGGTAATTACTGGAGGGACATATCTCACTGCCATGGCAGCGTTTAGAACGGCTCAGACTCCGTCAATTGAATTCCACACAATGAACCAATTTTTAAAGGAGCTATGTCAAAACTTGCACAACTTACACAAAATCAACATATCGTTAAAATTAATTTATCGCTTCTTACTGTGCGTGCAAGTCGCTCCGCGGCGCAAGCTCGAAAGTCCTCAAAAGCCTTAAAAAGCATGAAAGATAATTTCGGATGTCTGCTATAGCTTGGGTTTTCTTCCGTAGGGCAGTAGCGTTAGAGAAATAAACTCTGGATGGAAGCCTCTTTCCTTAACAAATTTTACTCATTAAAAATGTATCGACTAAGTTGTAGGAATCTTCGAAGCCGCTTGCAGCGGGCTTCGGCAGAACGCCGACCCCCGGTCAACTGACTTTTCAAGGGCAATCCTCAGTATTACATTGCGCATCGGGTGCCTCTCGTCGCCCTGCTGCGCATCCTATACTGCGCATGAGAATCACGTAATCAGACGAATGAAGTCGCGCGCATTCCGAGAACACGGTATTGTTGTTTTTCAATCAATGGACGAGGTACGATGGTATTCTGCTCTTTAAATGGTCCATGTCGTTATTAAAAAAAACCGTTATCTGTGCACAGATTATATCCTACATTGTCTGACATGTTCGCAACTGTCTACACAAGAATTTTCGAAGTTTTTCAAGCCTTTCTTAAGAAAATTTCGCTTCCTGAAATATCTGCCGTAAACCGATCAGATGACGCATGTGATTAGTACAGGTATAAGGGGTAAGTTTGGCCGATCATATCTCTAAAGTAAGTCGGGTGACCTATCTTTCTTATTGTAGTTTAGGAAACCGATCTTGATAGAGGGAACATTTATGGAAAGTTTACAAAAACCTGTCTTTTTTCTTGAGGAATCACCTCGTTGGCCCCTTACTGACTCCACCTAGGGCCGATTTACGTGGTACGACTTTGTCGCATGCGACAAGCTTGCCAGGCTACGACACGAATTGTTTCGTTTAAATCAAACCTACAACTCGCTAACGACTATCACGTGTCCAGGAATTTCTTTGGATTTTAAAACATGTTTTAAAACGCTGCGTCAATCGTAGCCGGAATCGATGAAAATGATTTATTGTGACACTTTTACTGAGTAGGGGAAGTTAGTAAAGTTTTCTTGCGTCAATATGCCAGACGAAGTTGCTGGTGTCGGTAAGTCGTCAAAGTGAAGGTAACTTTTTCAGAAGGTGAGGCCTAGAAGGTACAAGGAGTATTTCAAGAGGGAGTGGAATTGAACGCGACCGCGATTTTAGCATGTCAAGCGAAGATGTGCGGGTGTAAATTGTCCTGAGACGTGTGATAGGCGACAAAGATGTACTCTGTAAATCGCCCCTTACTAACCCCCCGCCTCCCCCAACCTCTAAGATTGACTGGAAATGATATATCTATATTACTTGACTGGAAATGATATCTATATCACTAGAGGTCGCCCCAGAATTTCTACCAAAGATTTAAAAGGTAGCCGTTTGATCAACTACTGAGTGACCCGGGCCCTACTAAGTTACCAAACAACCTCCGCTTTCTTGCATTTTTAGATCATAATGTTTACTTTTTTTTTTTTATACTATATGTTCTTCGAGAAAACATTTTGTTTTTAATTAGTTCGTGGAAGCGGATGACACAGTTGTCACTGACTCGATGCATTGCTACTCATTTACGGAAAATAGCACTAATCATAGCTACCACTTTTACTTGCTCAAATGTCATGGCTCTCCTGATTGGCTAAGTGAGCTTTTCTTTACACAACCTCGGTCCCAAGTTCCTTTTTCTTCTTTCCTCGAGAAAGAACTTCATATTTGCATTAACTGGTTTGAATCCTCTACAGTTAGCAGTTTGCCACATGGAAGGGTTAGTTAGGCCAGCAACTTACACTGAAGACAATTTGGATTGAGACGACAATATTGGAATCGGCGAAATTAAATCTGAAATAGTAACGCGTTTTCCATTTGGATCTTCCTTGCGAAGTTATGTGGACTTTCGATATGACTTCACATGATCAAACGGAAATGCTGGAGAACGTTGCCAAAATATGCATCTACACGGTGTATTCGCTGGGCAGGTTAGGTTGGCGGTCGAAGATAAACATCAGTCCTTTCAATCTTCATTCCTTCCCCTCAAATAGTCAGACAACGATGGAACTCTTGACACAGAGCGTGGGGTCTGTTTTCTATAAATTGGACCTGATTGGGACGATGGAAGCCATGTTTATTCATTAGAAGCGTCAAAATCGTTGACCACTTTGATGAATGATTGGGGATGACTTGTCTAGTCGCTTCAATGGATATAGCCGAGTGGGAACGCGATGAAAATTCTGCACAGGTAAAGTTTAATCATGGAGCAAACCGACATTATTCTTGTTTGATCCAAGAGGTGGCTGAGTTTTGTCTAGCTTTATATTTTATGTTGGCACTTTTTGAAGCGAGACACCTACAAGAAATTCATATATAACTAATTGTCAAAAGTTTATTCGATTTATTATCAGATACCACCAAAGTTTCTCGTGCGCGAGCTATCGAAGGTTTCTTTGCTCTATTTGACCAGAAACGCGTAAGAGTTGGTTTCCATGGATTTTCTCTCAAACCAAAATTATTTACTTCAGCTATCGTGCGGTCAGTATCGAGATTCAGAGCTTTGGAAATCCGGATTGTTTCACGATCTAATTTGAAAAATACTGCAAGAAAAGACAGTATCAAATACTACAGTTTAGAAACGGAAAACAAAACAAACAAATAAAAAACACAGAGCAAATAAAACTTTGAGTAGGACGAGAGAAAACCGCGAGTGAAACGCGATGGCTTCGTGGGTTCACCTCGAAGAGAAAAGCAACGAGAGTCGTCTTCCACCTCTGCAACAGAAATCAAGAATATCAGTCAGAGTAACTTACCTAAGAAGCGACTGTGTAAGAAGTTGTTCATTAAAGGACGAAGGCGATAAAAAAGAGCGTCTGCAAAAAGGTTTAGAAGGCAAAGTTCAAAACAAGCGATCGTCCCGGATTCCGGTTATAATCGATGAGAAGAGAACCAAAGTTGATACTAAAGTTGTTCTACTCAGGGAGAAAAACCTCCAGGAAGAGATTCGGGTATGTTTTTTAACAGTAAGCCAGCCTTATTTTGTTATTCAAACACTACCTCGAATAATGAAGAGATCTCAGAAAATAGCTATAGGTGAACGACTAAATCGTTTGTCTATACACCGCAGGTGAAATAAGTAATAGATGAGACTGTACTACATTTTTGCGGAAACCATATTATACAGGGCAGAAAAAGACATTTTAATGCTCATCGATTTAACTTTAAATTTTTTCCCTGTAGAAACGAGAGTTACTAATGATTATTATTTATTTATTTTTATATTTATTTATCTGTTTATTTGGCTCTTTATTTTCATATATATTCTTTTACTATTATTTATTTTCACATCGGTCTCCTGAACTGAATTCTTTGATGGTTGAAAAATGAAAAAAAGTAAAAAAGAGAGAGAAAAAATGCCGCTATTGGCCGTCACGTCGGTTTCAAGCCACTTACTCAGTTGATGCTCGTTTGCACAAATTAGGCGCAGATTCCAGCAGTTACAGTTTCACGACATTTTTTGAGGAAATTATAACTTGGTGCCTGATTCTTCTTATAGGATTTGTAATCTTTGTAATTTGTAATCTTAATTTGATCACAGGCATTAACCTGCGAGAAACTCAAGGAAAACAGGAGAAGAAGAAAGAAAGCGCCATTCCCTTGACTACAGCTAGCTATGGCAAATATTGTAGGCGAGCGAAGGAAACGACGCCAAACGATAGGCGACGAGTGCCACGACAGCTTGCACCCATTGAGACAGGGGCGAAGGAGGTAAATCTCAATAATATCTTTCGATTGAAGCGAGACCCCGAGAAAAAATGTTTTATGAACAAATATTGAACAAATATGTAAGTGAAGTCTCTCACAATGACAACTGTCTTTTCTAGGTGACCTAGGACTCTGTTATTATTCTCCTAAATCTCTTAAAGAAAAACAAATGCCCGGATCACTGAAAAAAATGACCGCTGACCTATCATGAACATTACAGTATCAAGCATCCTAATTACGACTTCTCACTATTTGAGATCATGACTTTCCGGCTTCCTTCCGCTGGTTGCCACTAACCTAGTTATATCCAGAAATTCGACAGTTACCACAGAAAACGCCATTTATTTTAAAATGACAGGTCTGCAACGATGAGAAAGAACCACGAGAGGAAAGCTCGGCTAGTGAGGTATCATCCGCGGCCGAGGTCACACCAGATTTTGAATGTAACGCTGCACCGGTACATGAGGAAGAGCTCCGTATAGGGACCGAAGCAGATTTCAGTGGCAGTGAGTTTGGCGACGACTTTGAACGTCTTTCAAAATCTAGCGACGAGAAAGCAATGCCCAATGTACCCCCGTGGCTAAGAGACGACTACAAGTTAGTATTCAAACAATTTTTTGCCTTTACTGTCAGTAAACTTCATTCCTGAGACAGTTTAGTAACCGTATACGCTTTTGGTATACAAACCTTCTCCATTCAGTGACACATCATGTGAATTATGTTAAGCGCGTCTCAAAGTTTGTCAAAAAATCTTCCTGGTCACAGTTGTCATTAGAATTCTTTCGTTTTACTGCAGAAAACGGATTTTTGCCGAAGAACAGACTGTGGCAAAATCAGCTCAAAACAAAAAGTTAGTAGTTCCTACTTCTTATATAATTGTGAAAATAGAAAGAGTTCCTAACTTTTTTCAAGATATTTGCACTTTTACTAGCGACTCGCTAAAGGCAAATGTATGTAAATGAGTT